ATCACACGGCTCAGGGGGGTGAACAAAGGCCTCCTGTAGCGAATCGATGCGTTTTTGTAAGAAAAATATTATATTCAAAAACGTAATCATCACTTTAATGTAGCTTGCGCCAACAGTTGTACACAGAAGCAGCTCCAGGCTGATTGCGTATGAGTTCAGCGCTGCGCATGCACCGGTGAGTCTCGTGAACGCAAAGCTGACCTCATACGTCATCCGCCCGGAACTGCTTCCGTGTAGGACTGTTGGCGCAAGCTACATTAAAGTGAGTATTACGTTTTGAATATGGATATTTTTCTTACAAAAACGCATTGATTCACTACAGGAGGCCTTTGTTCACCCCCCCGAGCTGTGTGAGACACTTTTTTTTTATGGATGGGTGCTTTTTATTTCACTTCTTTTGGACTGATGCATGCAACACCCGCTGAGTGGCATTAAACAGCTTGAAAGATCAAAGATAATTTTTAATATAACTCCGACTGGATTCGTCTGAAAGAAGAAAGTCATATACACCTAGGATGACTTAAGGGTGAGTAATTTTATGGGCTAATTTTCATTTTTGGGTTTACTAACCCTTTAAGGCAGCTACAGTATCAAGTTGTTTTTGGTTGTCATATATTACTATCATTTTGTCATGTTTATTAGCATATGTTAATGAATTGTGTTTGTTTCAGGATGGTGTGTCTGTGTGCGGTGGTCTGTCGCAGCTGATGGAGGAGCAGTTATTGCTGCAGCAGCAGCAGATGGAGGATGATCAGCGTTGGTTGGAGCAGGAGGAGAGACTACTGGTACTGATCCCATTCACCTTCACCTCTTCCATCTCTTCCTCACATTCATCTGCTCATCTTTGTTCCCTAACCCTCTTATCCCCATTTCCCCCCTGCTTAGCTGTATTATGTGGTCGTTAGTTTTTTTCCTTCTTCCTAAAAATATTTAGTGGAGAATCATATTGATGTTTGTTTATAGCCGCAGCAATTATATGATTTTCCAAACAGTCATTTTCATGTTTGTTTGAGAATAAGTGTTTGTGGTTTCCTGCGCCATTTATTTGTAAACGGTCATGAGTGATCCTCACAATTTCACAACATCAGCTTTTGGTATCATTCGCATTGTTGAAGAATTACAGATACAATATGAATTAGAAGGCATTGCACTCTGGGGAGTGTTATTATTGCAGTGATATGTGTACATACAAATGTTATTTTGCACATAAGTTTGTCTGAGAATATCTGTGTGTGTTTGTGGTATGCCAAGTTCTGGCTCACAGTCTCCGTCATTTGTATCTTCACTGTGTCATTATGTTCAGTTTGTCTCGCAGAAAAAACTCACGCAGCTTCCTGTACCAACTAAAAAGGACATTCAGAGCTCTACCACAGCAAACAACATTCATTCTTCTGCTTAAACTGTTACTTTTCCTCACAAACACCTTCTGTTGAAATGAAATGTCAACTCTTATAGGAATCCAAAAATGATTTGCTCATCCTGACGTTTTTCTAAACACGTAAACAGTTTTTAGTCAGTGCAGCACAAAAGGGGGTATTTTGAAGAATCATGCTGCTCTTTTCCATACAGCGACATATTTACAAGCTACAAAAATGACAACAAATGTCATAAAAGTAGTCTGCATGACTCGTTAGCTTTATTCCAAGTCTTCTGAAGTCAAACATTGTATTCATTAATAATTTCCTCTTTGCTGACTGAATCATTGAGTTTGTAAGTTTATGCTTAAGAACAAAATCATTTTGATTTGTGAACAAATCACTGTCTGATTAGTGAATCAGTTTATTGAAAAGAACTGGTTCAGAAGAACGATTTGTTCATGAATCTGACTGATTCAGAACTAACTGAATATTAAAGTATACTGCATGATTTGTATGGACAACTTTAATTTTTTTTTTTTTTTGGTTTCCAATATGAGCAAATAATTTTATTTGAGATCATCTATTCCTTTAAAACCGTTACAAGCTTTTCTGTCATTTTTGACCAATTTCATTTTTTTTACACAGATGATACACATAAGATCTAAATAATCTAAAATCCTCTAAAACGTGCATGATTTTATTGTTACTACTTCAAGGAAGTTAGTGGTGTAACATTTCAGTAAACGTTTCTTCTTTTTTTCCCCCCCATTAACAAAAGCTAAACTTACTTTGACTTTCCTGGTCAAAAATGACCTCAAACAGCCAAGGTGTGATCTTAAAAAAAAAAAAAAAAAAAACAGCCAAGGTGTGATCTTACAAAAAAAAAAAAAAAAAGTATTTGCATTTCTATTAAAGGATTTTTTTTTTTTTGATGTTGTGAGCAGATGAATGAGTTGTGATCCTGGCCATTTGATACAGGTGCAGTTTTCAGGAATTCCTCAGTAATGAAGGGTTTTGTTGGCACTGAGGCGTGAGACGGGTAAACTCAGTCTGACCTGCATCTGCTGAAAGTTAAATTACTGATCAGAGGAAGTTTTCATCTCTTCACAGATGTTATACGCAAATGTTCATGAGGGATAATGGGAGGGGAAGAGAGGGAAAGAGAGAAAACACTGAGCTAGGGAATGAGAGAGAGGAGGAGGAGAGCAGAAAAGGGCTTGGCTTCGCTGAGTTGAGGCTCGTCGGCTGTGAGTGAATCAGTGTGTGCGTTTAATATGTCTCACATTCAGGAGACGAGTCACTTCACACACACACTCTATGACTTATCCCACACACCCATGGGCTTGCTTAATGGAGATCCACTCCGTGCTCTGCTCCATGCTTAAGAAACGCCAGAGAGAAACGCTCACAGGAAGAGACGGGAAGATGCAGGTCTTCAAATCCTGCTTCGGAAAACTGGTACGGTGAACTTGGAAGAATGGGAAGGGGAGGGTGCCATTTTAGTAAAGCTAAATGTAGATTTTACACTGTTTTTAGTTCATCTTTGAGGGATCTTGAACTATCATGGACATAGTTGCTGTAAATGATTGGTTTATATTCAGTTGATTTATGGATGGTTTATTGTCATTTCAAAGGAGTAGGAACAGACATGAGTTAGTGTGTGAAGTTTTGTGAGCAACAAATGTGATGTGATTTAAACACAAAGAAATGATTGACCATGTGAGAAAATGTTAATCACTTTTCCTACTTTTTGTGGCATTTAAACATCAAATGTGTTCTGGCTGGCTGCTACTGTGCCGTGCAGCATTGTCATTTTCATTGAGGAAATACAAATTGCTTCTAGCTGGAATCTTGTTGTATTACTCCAGGTCAGGACGGTGTGCGAATTAGCACAGTAGATACGACAGACATCAATTTGTCGAATGAGGAGAGTCAGGTTTGACCTTCTTTCTCTCTCTGTGTGTGTGTTAGCAGAAGCCTGATGGGAGAAGTTCCAGAGGCAGCATCGACCGTGATGATGGAAGCCTTCAGGGACCAGTGAGTTTCTCTTCATTTGCTTACTTTTTGTTGAAATACACTACTGTTTGAAAGTTTGGGGTCAGTAAGATGTTTTTTTTTTTTAGAAGAAATGAATAATTTTATTCAGCAATGATGTATTAAATTGATCAAAAGTAACAGTAAACAGTTACATTGTTACAAAAAAATGCTGTTCTTTTAAACATTCTATTTAGTAAAGAATCCTGAAGTATATTTATCAACGATTTCCACAAAAATATTAAACGGCACAACTGTTTTTAACACTGATAAAAGTAAGAAATGTTTCTTGAGCACCAAATCAGCATATTAGAATGATTTCTGAAGGATCTTGTGACACTGAAGACTGAAATAATTGCTATTTTATAATAAAAATAATAAAATTGTATTACTAACTGAGTGAGCATCATAGACTTCTTTCAAAAACATATCCAAAAAAGAAAATCTGGCTCCCAACTTTTGAATGGTTGTGTAAATCTTAATAAACATAAGTTATTTAATTATTTAAGGTTAAAGGGATAATGCACCCAAAAATGAAACTTCTGTCTCTATTTACTCACTATCATCATATTGTTCCAGACCAAATAGATTTTTTTCCATGCTTGAATTAAAAAAAAAATCTAAGAATTTTTACACAACTCTTTTTATACAACAACAGTTCATAGTGACTGTCTCTAAAGCAAGTGTGTGTGTGAGTGTTAATCATCTGATCAGGTCATGTTAAATATAGTAGTTTTCCCCACTCATGGACATCTGCAGTAAATTATATTGTATATGGGCGTCACCTCACACTCGCTGTGGGGGAATTCTGTACATGCACAGGAATTTCACTTAAATTGCTTTTGATGGAAGACTAAAAGAATAAATAACTCTGTGATTTACAACTGGGGGATTGTGTTCACTCTTGCGTAGCTATGGAGGTCTAAAAATCTAATTTCAGAATTCTGTTTACAGTTTTAAAGCTTTAAAACAGGATAACTAAATTGTAAATTAAAAGTGTGATGTTCCTACTGTAAGTCACTGATTAAAAAAGTAAAAATTGTGACATTGGTCATGTGACTCTTTGTACGGTCAGATGTTCTTGCCTCCATTGAAGCACAAGATGCTCTTTAGATCATTCTCAAATCATGATCATCAGGTTTGACAGACTTGTGGAGTTCATGTTAAAAAAGTAAAAAAGGGACAAACCAAATTCTGAGACATTCTGAAAATCGTGTTCATTTTTTAAATTATTAAAATGACAGTATGATAATTTGAAATGACAAAAATGCAAAATAGGACCATTTTTATTTGTGGTCTCAGACTTGGATATGATCTCAGCATATCATCTCTTTAGTGAACTGAGTTCATATGCATTTAGTTTGCTGTAGTGTACTTTTATAAGCTTTACTGTACTGAAATGTCTATTATAGCTGGATATCTGTTAAAAAATCATTGGGATAAATGGGAGACCAAGGACAAGGGCCCTTTTGTGAGGAAACAAGCAGTAGTGAACACTCAAGAAACCCAATCTGCTCCGCCTTCCCACTTCTAAAGTTAACACAGAACCACTACAGATGTTTACTAGTATTTGAATGCACTTCATGCTTGTCATGATCTGGAACTCCACAGCTGCTCTGTAGAGCTCGTTTGTCTGCTGCAGTGGTTTTGAATGTCTATCCTGTCTCATTGGGCTGTCCTCTTTGATTCACTGTGGTTTTAGGAGATGTGTGTGTGTATGTGTTGGCATGCCAGGCATCCAGGCTGCTCCCCACCCAGACCACAACAACACACATGGCACTGTCTGTCTTCTCTGTATATATATATATATATATATATATGTATGTATATATATATCATTTTATTTTTATTTTATATTAATATTTTTTTTATTTATTTATTTATTTATTTATTTATTTATTTATTGCTTGCAATGTGTAACTTGCATAAAAGTGCAGATTGACTTACAGACTGACTCTTTTTGTCGTCCTCAGAACACGCAGCACCTCCTAAAAAGCCTCCTCGGCCCGGAGCTCCCAGCCACCCAGCAGGAGTCTCCGGCCTCAACCCTACAGACTGCTACAATGAAGGAGTGAAGGTACCAGAACTACCACACGGCAAACTCCTATGAGAAACCTAACTCTTATAGTTTTGGATGAGTATTGTGCATGTGTAACTTTACAATAATCACTGCTGCTGTTTTTAAACCACATAAAGTTAGAAATAGCACCAAAAACACACACACACACATACACACAAACTGCGAGGCTGGTAATATTAGCATCTGTACTTACGGGTCGCCTTCAGGAGCAGCTAGCATGCCAACAGATGCTGTTTGCCAAGCCTCATTAAAATCATCCTCATTCCTGAAGCCCCTTTCACATACACAAGCGCACAATTGCTCTGCAGGGTCTCTCATAAAAAGATCCCTGCCTGCACACCAAGAACCTGGCAGTTTCCATTCCAGCGGGTTTTCCTGATGCTGTGGGTCAGCGTGCAGGGGGTCTCACAAGCAAGCAACAGCAGAAATGCAATGCAGAATGGAAAATATAATTAGGAACAATGCACATTATAATTGCGGTCTGCTTTGCAATTTTATAGTTTTTAGGAGTTTTACCTGTGGCCGTGTTTGGTCAGTAACAAACATTTATGGTCCCATAATAACGCTCGACGAGTGCGGTTTTCTTTCTAGTGCTGATTTTGGCTTGTATTTTCTGTTTTAAACAACAACTTTGGTTGGGGAATTTTTAAATAGCTAAAAGGTTAGTTATGTCACAGTCATGATAGCCTACTTGCTATTGCTAGTCTGAAGATTGTACATTTTAAATGTTTATTTACTAAAAAGTTACTTCAGACAACTTTCGGGAGTACAAAACTAAGGCACAAAACTGTCATTTTGATTTCATCAGGTCTTTACATGTAAATTTAGTTACATAATTTCACAGAACTAAACTCTCGCAACAGTTTCATGTGGTTGGATTCAAAAATATATTGACTTGCGCACACAAAGACGACGTAATTCCAAGCTGTTTTCTCTTTCTATCTCTGCAGCATGTATATGTAAAGTTATATTAATCTCTTTCTTTTTTTCCTCTCTCTCTGCACACTGTTCTCTTGCTCTGTGCCTCTGCCCTTCCTCTGTTGCACTGTTTTTGCACTGGTAGCCCTGCAGGGTAAGACCACCTGTAGACTCAGTGTTATGTTTCTGTCGGTGTTTGTGCCCCCTTTTTAACCAGTTGCCATGTCATTACGCAACCATATCATTGGGAATCATAACTTCATTATCCACTAAACTGAATTACATGGGCTGTATAGATCTTGTGCCTCTGTGCATGTCCTTTGCTTTTTAAATCAGCTGTGATTTTAGCTAATGCTAGCGCTTGTAGTGCAATCTAGTGGAGGCTTTGGATCATACTAGTGGGATGGACGCAGTACAGTATATTGAGTTGTATATTGTGTTTAAAATCTACACTAAAATATTTCCTTGATCTCTTTTTATATTTAACATGGGGGAACTACTTCTTTTTGTCATCGTATCATGTTTTGTGTTAAAATCAAGGGTGCGCAGATGGATTTCTAATCAGCTCAGTACTGTAGGTGGTGAAGGGTCTCCAGTATTTGCTTGTGCTGCCATCTAGTGTCAAACATGAAATATGTACCATAACGCAAACCTCTTCATTTCATTATCACTTGTGTCCTGTAAAATGAATTCAGTAACACAACCTTCATACTAAATCCGTTGTTTATAGATAGCAACATTATATGCTTGGAATTGAATAATCGTCAGTAATGCAGCATTTTAAAGCTTGTTACTTTGTATTTGTCATTAGATTCAGCCTCAGGAGATCAACCCACCCCCAACAGCTAACTTAGATCGGTCCAACGATAAGGTCTATGAAAATGTGACTGGGCTGGTGAAGGCTGTGATTGAGATGTCCAGTAAAATCCAGCCAGCTCCCCCTGAAGAATACGTGCCCATGGTGAAGGTATGACACAAAAAAAACAATGACAGCAGGCATCTATGGCATGGTCATTAACATCAAATGTGTCTCGTAACCAGTGTTGTTATTGTCAAAGGAAGTTCATTCAAAAATGAACATTTGATTGTAGTTTGTTTGTTCATTGGCTCACCAATGTTTGTTCATCATTTGCCCACCAATGAATGGGTGCCGTCAGAAAGAGAGTCCAAACAGCTGATAAAAGCATCACAATAATCCACACACAGCTCCAGTCCATCAATTAACATCTTGTGAAGTGAAAAGCTGCGTGTTTGTGAGAAACAAATCCATCATGAAGACCTTTTTAACTTCAGAGTAAAATACAAGTCCTCAATCCATAATATCGCTTTCTCCAATGAAAAGGTCACCTTGTCTAAACCAGGAGAGAAATATGCACAGTTCAAGCACAGTTTTTCAGTGGATTTTGATGTGAGGGGACAACAGGGGATGGACTTGGAGGAATCCTTATTATGGATTATGGGAATAAAATAGATTAAAGCTAAATAGAAATATTTAAAAAAAAAAATTATGATGATAAGCACATAACAAAATTACTAAAACTAAAATAAAACTAAAAAGTTAAAATAGAAAAAAAAGTTAATTCAAAATATTAATACATTCTATTATAGTATATAAATAATACTAATATAACACTACTTATAACTAAATATCACAGCATCAAACCAGTTTGATTTGAGAGCCACAATGGAGGTGAAGATAATCAGTGAATCTCAAAGCTTTCATATCACTTTTTTATTGTAAGCTTGCTTTCCATCATATAGTTTTTGTCATTTCAACATTCTCAACATGAAAATGTGTGTTTCAGGAAGTGGGATTAGCACTGAGAACACTGCTGGCCACTGTGGATGAGACGATACCTTTACTACCAGCTCACACGCACAGAGAGGTAAACGCATTTACAAACTAACACTAAATACTCTTATTCTCAACGTCCTTCGTGCCAGCTCAGCTAATTGTTACTCTTGTTCTTCGTCTTCAGATTGAAATGGCTCAGAAGCTTCTAAATTCAGACCTGGCTGAGCTGATCAATAAGATGAAGTTGGCCCAGCAATACGTCATGACCAGCCTGCAGCAGGACTACAAGAAACAGATGCTAACAGCTGCACACGCACTTGCCGTAGATGCCAAGAACCTGCTGGATGTGATTGACCAGGCCAGGCTGAAGATGTTGGGCCAGACACGACCGCATTAGCCCCCGCTAGAGGATACGATGACGCATGTGACGCCCTGGAAAAACTCACCAGCACAGACTTGTACACTAATGGAGTCTCATGGGCCCCCTTCACTACTCACTGACCCTCACGTTTAACCTGCACGGTAGACCACGGGTGCCATGAGGAAGGCTCTGGATTTATTTAACAGATGAGCTGGACCGGACCAGACTCATCACGACTGGTCTCTTCGAGACTAGACGCTGAGAGGACGATTCTGAGCTCTGCTATGAGCTTTGAACATCTCTGGAGGAAAATAGACACTCTCACACTGTATCTAGTATGTCTGTGTTTCATTGACAAGCCCAAGCTCCACAGCCAGACCACACAAATCTAGATCCCGCATGGCTCGGGTTCTGGCTTTAGAATCATAGAAGTTGAGACTCGGTTTTGCACAGAAGAACTTGAGTAGAGTCTGGATTCCCAAAATCTGGGTTTGACGAGTCTGGTTTTGCTTTGCGGACTCCCACGCTTCTCCCTAGGACTAAGAGGGACAGCGTTGTATATTTGGGCCTTGTGCCACCTAGAGGTAAAATAAAGCTATGACTGAATTAAAAAATTAGTTTGAGTCATCTTGTTTCCTGGTTTGAAAAGAAAATGTAAAGAAGAGATTATGATTATACATAGAAATGTGTTACAAATTTGTTAATTGTTCTATTGTCAGAAAAAATGTCTGCTTATATGGGTCAAATATTCTTATGGATTTTGTGAAATGATGAGTGCAGTTTTTCCTGTGTTGATGTATTTCCTGGTGTGTGTGTGTGTGTGTGTGTGCACAGACATCTAAAAAAATTAGAATATCATGAAAAAAGTCAATATTTTTTGTCACTCATTTCAGAAAGTGAAACCCATATATTATATAGATTCATTACACAGAGTGAAATATTTCAAGCCTTTATTTCTTGAAATTTTGATGATTATGGCTTACAGATAATGAAAACCCAAAATTCAGTGTCTCAGAAAATTAGAATATTACATAAGATCAATAAAAAAAAAAAAAGGATATTTTAAACAAATGTCAGGCTTCTGAAAAGTATGTTCATTTCTATGCACTCAATACTTGGTTGGGCCTCCTTTTGCATGAATTACTGCATCAATGCGGCGTGGCATGGAGGCAATCAGCCTGTGGCACTGCTCAGGTGTAATGGAAGCCCAGGTTGCTTTGATAGCGGCCTTCAGGTCATCTGCATTGTTGGGTCTGGTGT